GTTTGACAGCCTTGTCATGAAGTCTCTGCTTGACAACTGTGTGACTAAGCAAGTCCTAAAACTCACCTAGTCTCAGTTTCCTTATGTGTGAAATAGGGATAAAATGGGTAGTTTATTCCTTCCAAGGGCTATGAGGAAGACATGAGAGAATGCATGTGCAGGGAACCCCCAAATCATACACTCCCTGACAGTGTCCTCCTGCTAAAGCTCCACAAACTCCTAGCTCCTGGTGGTGATCTGGCCATGACCGTAGGCCTGCATTTTGACAATCCGGCCTTGGTCAATTTAGCTAATCTCAGAGTGGGTGGTGCAAAGAGCCCTGGGCTGGGACTCGTGCCGAGAGTCTGAGCCTCCGTCCTGCAATTAATAGGCTGTGTCACCCCGAAAGTCCCTTCCCCTCTCTGAGCCTGGCTTCCCCCACACTCAGATGAAGAAGGAGGACCTGCCTTCAAAGAGTCCCACTGGTGGCACCCTCCCAAGACTCTGTGCTCGTGCTGATTTTCCCTCCTGCCAAGGCAAGATGAAGTTGTCATGGCCCACTCGGACTTCTTGGGAGGATTAGTGCTCGTTAAGTGCTTCAAGGCTGGCAGCTGGCACCGATGCAAGGTGTCACTTACTACCTGCCCGGAAATTCTTATCCTGGCAGGAGGCTGATTTATTCCATGGCCTTGAACCTTAACCTTCCCCTGCCTCTTCCCTGTTAAAAATTCCTCTGTCAGCTGCTTCAATGAAGGAGCGAACGGGATGCTGTCCACCAGTGGGCTGCCCACCCATGATCTCTGCCATGGGTACTCAAGGGCTGGGAAAACAGGGCAGGCTTGGAAAGCCCTGGAGCCCTCAGGTGGTCCCCTGAGCCCAGGGGTCTTGGGCATGCTCCAGTCAAAACAGGAGGGGCACATACTGTTCTAAGGGACTCACATCATCCTCACATCAGCTGACTTGAAGAACGCCAGGCATGAATATGAGCGCTTCTGTGTCTCAGCTCCTTTAGCTCTCAAACCAATCCTGTGAGTAGCTAGTACTGTTGTCCCAACTTATAGCTGGGACACTGAGGCCCAGAAAGGTTAAACTTGCCCACGATCACACAGCTAATCAGTGTGGAGCAGCATGCAAATGCAAGCCGTGTGGCCCCTGAGTCCCATGCTCCTCAGCTAGCTCATTTGATGTCCTCCAACTCCTAGCAGCAGCCCTTTGCATAGGTAAGGAAGCTGGGCCTCTGTGCACCGAGCCTCTGAGAGTTACCAGCGATAAGAGCACTGCCATCGAGTGCCTGCTCTGGGTCTGGCTCGGGGCTAGGCCTTTGTCTCCAGTCTGTCACCACAGCCCCAGGAGACAGGGGCCTCTGCCCCACTCCACAGTCTGAGGCCACACAGCTACCAAGTGGCAACACAGAGGCCCTGCTCAGCTAGGCTTAGATCCAAAGTCCACGCTCTTTCCACCACCTGGCTGGACACTAACAGGGACGTTCCGGTGACATCTCAGAGGACGGGGAAAGAAACGGATACCTGCCGTGGCCTGGGCCACAAGGCAAGGAGCAGGCTGTGTCCTTACCCACAGCCCCGGGGTCTTGGGAACAATTTCGGACAGGGCCTGCTGAGCCGGATGTTAGTAAAAAGGAAGCCACTTTGATACTGAATTGCTTAGGACACGAACACTGGCTTGAGAGACAACTCGCTCAGTGGTCTCGCTCTCAGAGTGAGAACAGATTCAGGGAGGGGTGCACGGGCAGCTGAGAGGTGAACCAACGTGGTGAAATGCGGAGGAGGGCCGCACAGGACACCACGCTCGGCATCTGATGTTCTCCCTGCAGAGCCAGGCGCCAGTGTGAACCCATCACTCCTCCCCGCATGCAGCCCTCTTGGCCTTGCAGGCCAGGAAGAGGGGACTGCAAGAGCCAGCATCCAAACGACTCGGCCGGGGGGGACAGGGTGGGCACTGCTCCCACCCGACCTTCTCGGCGGGGCTCAGTTTACGGCGAAGTCATGGAAGATGGCAGCGGCCAGAGCCCAGCAACGAGGCCACCCAGCGGCCCACGTGAGTCCAGAAAAAGAAGTGGCAGGGTGACAAGCAGCCGAATTCAGGCCAGTTCACCTCCTTCTGTCTTCGGGAACAGTCTGGCTTCAAAGCCCCTCATGGATCCAGTCCAAACCAGAACCTCTTCCTCCTCTGCATTCCCATAAGCCTCTGTCTCATAAGACACACATGCGGTCGCCACGGTCATAGCTACTACCCATTTGGCAGGTTCTCCGTGTCAGGTAGGCCCTGGGCTGGGGCTCTGAGGTCTTCTTTAGCTCCGCTGTGCAGAAAAACTCAGGATCGTAGAGAGATGACTTGCCTAAGCTCACACAACCAGGAGCTGGTAAATAAACACTCGTTGAGCGAAAGAGTAAACTGAGACCAGCTCTCCCTGCCCAGTACCCGGGCCCCTGCCCACCCTCCTCTCCCAGGAGCGAGCCGCCCACTGCCACTTCTCTGCTGGCGGCAGAAGAAAGACGCTGCGTCACTGCCAGGACTGTTGCAAACACTGGACGATGCGGCACCGGGGGTCCTGCTAAGGCTGTTCTGGGAGACAGATGCCCGGGGGACCTCAGGACCTCCCATGGCCTCACCTGGGCAACCGCTGACTGCATTTGTTATGCTGTAAATCGTAAATCACTCGTACACGCTTGGCCCTCTGCGTGGTCATACGTGCTCACACAGAAGTCCAGTGTGAAGGACGGACGAGCGGGGGCCCAGAGAGGCGAAGTGACTTGGACCTGGCCACACAGCGCAGGGCAGAGTGAGGACCTGTACCCAGGTCCAAGTTTCTTTCCACCATTCTAGCTGCCCACTCTCCATCAGGTCTGGTGACTGAAGAGGGGCTGAAGAGTTGAGATGCAAATGGCAGCCTTGAGGAATGTTTACACAAGGGGAGGTGGCTTAGCCCGATCCTCCCTGGAGTGCTCTGCGTGGTGCTCCCTCTGTTCCCATGGATGGTCTGAGCAACAGCTATGCCCCTGCTGCGCAGTTTCAGAAATCAGCCTCCCCCGACTTCCACCAATTCCCCGAAAATTCGCACACTGCCTCCGTGGTTCCAGCCCCGATGTACACCAGGAGCCAAAGGTCCAACAACTCTGAGGAGACTCACGCCAGCCGCCTTTCCCCCGGGCTGATGGTGGGGAAGGTCTGTTCTAAGGCAGGGAGGACAACCAGGCTCCTCAACAGAAATCTGCACATTTCATATTTGAGGTTAAGGAAACATCTGTCTTCCTCTCCTCTGACTCAAGAGTCCTCCGTAGCAATCTATGCTAAGACAACATTTTATGCACAAAGATGGTAACTGCTGAATTGTTTTTAATAGCAAAAAAATGGAAACGGCTTCTGTCCAACGTTAGCAGGATAGTTAAATGAACTACGGCACATCCATGCATTAATTGCAACCATTAAAAACATTCTTTATGAAAAAAATTTGAATAAGTTAGGGAAATACCTATGAATGTAACATTAAGCCAAAACAGAGAGAGATGGAGAGAGAAAGAGGACATGGAATTGCATACAGAGAGGGAAAAAAAGTACAGAGAAGACTGGAAGGAAGTGAACCAAGATATCAACACAGGCTGCATCCGGGTGGCAGAACAAGTTGTTTGTTTTCTGTTTTACACCTTTTGATACTTTTTCTTTTCTCCTACATTCCTGTGATAATCAGAAAAATAAAAGCAGCTACCCAAATTCTTTCTTTCTCTCTCTCTTCCTTTTCCACCCCCCCGCCCCCGAGACACACACACGCGCGCGCGCACCCTGAGTGAATTATCTGAACGTCCAGAAAGGATGTGATGCTGACTGGTTACAGGGAGGAAAGCAGGTCCTGTGTCTCTTTTCCCACAACACAAATGCTTCTAATAAGACCATCCACACAGGGGCCATTCCTTTAAATTTGTCTTCAAGGTTTTCCTGGGAGGGGAGCCTGGGTGGCTCAGTTGGTTAAGTGGCCGACTCCTGATATCGGCTCTGGTCGTGATCTTGCAGTTGTGAGATCAAGCCCTGAGTCAGGCTCCACACTGAGCATGCAGCATGCCTGGGATTCTCTCTCTCTCTCTCGCTCCCTCTGCCCCTCTCGCCTGCCCTCTCTCTCTCTCTCTCAAAATAAATAAACATTAAAAAGGTTTTCCTGGGACCTTTCAACTGACTTGGTTCTTTGGGTCTGGACCTCAGGAGCCTGTGTCTCTAAGGAGTAAGGAACACAGCAGGTGAATTTTTGTCTCCAGCCCCAGACAGCTCCCGTCTCTCAAGGAAGAAGCAAGCCGGGAGGCTTTTCTTGTGAAAGGCCTACAGAGAGGAGAGCTGGCGACTTGGAAGGGTGTTGAATTTGGAACGTGAGGTCATGCCCACAATAAGGCACTCTGCAGTCTCTCCAGCTGAGAGAGGCTTTCGAGTTAGGAGAACCGTGGCTGGAGAGGGAAGAGACATGGGCAAGTGAGGCTGCAGGTCACACACGAGCTGGTGACATGAGGTAGCACCCATGCCGCTCCCTGCCGGGCTACAGTTCTGTCCGTCCACCAAGTCAGCGTGCGAGATGCACCTGTAGGACCCTGGAGGCAGTGCCCACGCCCACGTCATCAGAAACCTCTACTCTTTCTCTACGAAATCACCCGAGATCATTTTACAGCTACGCCTGGAGGAGTGGATTTAAAGCCCCTCCGCATCTGTGTCCTTCAGAGCTCCAAACCTACTCCTTGGAAGCAGGTCTCCATTCCTCACTGTCCCCGGCCACACGTCCGAGTGTGTTCGCTCGAAAACACACATTAAGTACATACAAAGACGAGCGTGAAGTGAGACGGAAGCGTGTGGGCTTCCCCCAAATCTAGAAAGCTCAGAAGCCTGAACAGCCCAGAAGGAAGTCAGCCTTGGGATCCCCCAGGTCTGGGGAAATAGGAACACAACTCAGGGGGTGAAAAGTCAAAACCGCACCCCACTCGGTCCGCAGCGGGGGGGGGCAGTGGGTCTGCCGGACACCAACTCACCGAACATGCTGCCCTCGTAGCCGTCTTTCGTGAGTGGCCGGAGCTCGTTTTTCCCCATCGCGTAACGCTTGTAGCTCTGCCAGGCGAACTGCATCATCTACAAGAAAAAGCAGGAAACGGAACCTGAGCACGGCCGTTCCCAACAACCTGTACCGGCCACCTGGCTTTGCCCTCTGCAATAGGATCCGAAACCACATTGAAAAAATAACCTTCCAGGGGCGCCTGAGTGGCTCAGTCGGTTAAGCGTCCGACGTCGGCTCAGGTCATGATCCTGCGGTTAGTGAGTTCGAGCCTCACATCGGGCTCTGTGCTGACAGCTGGGAGTCTGGAACCTGCTTCACATTCTGTGTGTGTGTGTCTCTCTCTCTCTCTGCCCCTCTCCACAGCTGCCTGAAAGGTCGTTCTCCTCAGACGACCCCATGAGTCCAGAGTCTACCCACAGATTCCTTAGAGAAGACACAGAAAGCACCAAATATATTCTAGCCACCCTCCAGTGCCAAAGAGAAAAGCTACCTCTTCCATGAAGCCTTCCTGTTTTGCTCTGGCCTAAACTGATCCTCTGAAAGGAAGGAAATAACTCGCTGAGTGGTGCCAGGTGTAATCTAATAAAGCAATCCCCTGGTGAGGCATTGTCGACTCCATTCTGTAGATAAGGACACAGGGCAAAGACATGAGGTCACTTGTCCAAGGTTACCCAGGGTCAATGAGAGTGCTGGGAATGGAACCGGTGCCCTGCGGCCCCAAAGCCGTAGACCTGTCCCCCAAAGTCCTTGTTTTGTCCCCTAAAGTCACCACATGAGTCTCTCTGAACTTTTCCAACACCTGTTGACGTAGCCTGGCCATCCCAGGCTCCCTAGCACCCCAGCTAGTCACTGTCAGTTTTTGTTTCCCTGGCTCTGAACCATAAGCTCTTTGAAGCCAGAAACTATGCTTGCCTCAGTTTCTCCCACAGCACCCAGCACAGGGCTCGGTACATGTAGGCAGCAATGAGTATTTATTGGCTTTGGCACCCAGGCTGTGCAGTTCTTACCACATCAAGGCAACTACGTTGGCCCGTAGCAACATCACGCAACCACCTTGGTCCTCCAGCCGCACTTAGCACCGGAGGCTGGAGGAAGCCAGGCTAACAATATACCCTCAGCCCTGCTCCCCCGTCCCCCAGGGCCCCCCTTATTTGCCTCAAGGATGCTGTCTTTTTGCCTCTGCATGGTGGGCTGCCTGGGTGACAGCGGAGCAGAGGAGGGAGCAGGGGCAGGCGGCAGAGGCACAGCTGAGGGACGGGTGGGCGAGGAGGCAGCTGGTGTGGTGGAAAGAACTCAGGCTTCAGGGCCAGAGCGGCCTGGGTTCTCATCTCACCTCTGCTTTGACTTTGGCAAGTCACGGAGCCTCAGTGGACATCTCTTTGAAATGGGAACAGCAAGGGCTACTTTGCTGAAAGGTTTAATCCCCAATCCTGAAAGGTTTGCATGAAAGAAAGTAGCTGGAAATGCCTGGTTTCCGACCTGCACGTGATTGACAAGCCTCCTCAGCCTCTAAAATTCCCATCCGGTCCCCCAAGCCTCAGCCACCACCCTCCTTCCAGTCACCCTTAGCTCTCAAACTCTGTGTGCATTAGAATCACCTGGAAAGCTTGCTGAATCTGACTATCAGCTCCATCCTTGAGTTTCTGATTCAGCAGGTCTGGGGGGGGTGGGGCCAAGAATTTGCCTTTCTACTGAGTTCCCGCGTGATGCTGCTGGTCCATGGGCCACCCCTGAAAACGACAGATCTGGTGATGTGTTTCTTTCTATTTCCAACCTCACCTCCAGACGCTGTCCGGCACCCTTCTACTTTTCTCCCCCTATCTCCCAGCCTACCTTCCTGTCTCAGCTCCCTCTCTCTGGACGTCTCTACCTTCATCCTCCATGTTCTGCCACTCCAGGTACCAAGGCTTAGAAGCAGTCCCTTCCAGACACATCTGGACCAAAACTTCTGCTGTGTTTGCCACTGTGGCCCAAACACACAGACCAGGAGGGCAGACGTGACAAGCCTAGGTGCCGCATTCCCTGTGAAATGGCAGAATAATCTAGCAGCACCTCTCCATTTCGTAGACGTTCAAGCCGAGGCTCCGAGATGGAAGTGATCAGGGAAGCACAGCCAGCAGGGCTGGAATCCAGCTCTTTCGACTCCCACACCAGCCAAGCCCATCCCCATGCCTGGCCTGATATGTGGCTTCCCATGTGACATACATGAAAATGTCATGGTAACGCATGCCAAGCACTTGGCACAGGCTTTGAGTCCTAGTTCTATTCCTCTGTTATTTTCTACTTATCCTGAATTGGCAATAACAGAAACTAATTGCCGGGTATGAGTGCTTAAGGGAGACTGGCCTCCTCCCTCAGTCTCTCTTATCTGGAGGCCCCCTCAGTTTAGCCATTGTGAGGGGGGGAGGGGAGGGTGGAAGAGCGGCAGGAGGCTGGTAAAACATAAATGACAGCAGGGAAGCAGCAGCAGAGGTCTGGAGGGGGAGGACCGCACCCTCCCCTCCAATCCCCCCTGCTTAAGAGAAAGAGAGAGAAGTGGGTATACCAGGGTAATTAGGAGAATCGTAGGTATCTACGTGTTCTCAGAGGAGCTGCCACTGTGGAGACGTTTGGAACGGGGCCCGCGTTCTCAGTCATC